ATCCCAGCAGCCTCCTAGTGGGCAGCTTTAACGCCCATCACCCCTCCTGGTTCTCCCATCTTGAGGACCAGCTAGAGAGCAGCAACGAGAGGGACCACCATCGGTGACTTCATCTCTGGCTCTCTCTTTGCTTTCCTCAACTAGGACTAGCCGACCCGCCTTCCCTCCCTTGGTCCGCCCTCCTCTCCTGACCGTAGAGGAAATTCATCCGGCACGGCAGCAGCGGCCAATCTTCGTTGGTCCGCAGCTCCACGTCAGCAGTTATGTAGCCAATAAGTAGACGTAGGTAGCCTTATAGTCATTAGCTCGTTGAAACTCGTGGGAGGTGGAACGCGCACTTTTTGTTCTACTCTCGGGTAAGCTGTAGTTACACTTAGTTCTAACGTCAATCTGAATTCACTTAGGCCAGATTAGTGCTCGTGATAGTACATTCCGACCAATTAACTAGGTTCTCTTGTCCGTTCTAAATATGCTAACCCTGGCTCCTCAACATATGCTTGATATTTGGATGCGAATAACCATAAATCGGTGATTGTTAACCCAGGTACTCCTTGCTATAGATAGACCTCCTGACTGGCCACTAAGGGGCTACTTAACCACGAGTAATACGAACTGGCTCCACCTCGTCCATATCCAAATCTATATCCACATCCTCGTCCTCATCCTCCTACCCTGGCGCTTTAAGCTTAGAACTCAGCCGCACCACTTGCGTCTTGGTAAAACCTTGCGTCCTGGTGGAACCTTGCGTCCTGGTGGAACCTTGCGTACTGGTGGAACCTTGCGTCCTGATGGAACCTTGCGTCCTGGTGGAACCTTGCGTCCTGATGGAACCTCGCGTCCTGGTGGAACCTTGCATCGTGGTGGAACCTCGTATCCTCGTGGAACCTTGTATCCTGGTGGAACCTTGCGTCCTGATGGAACCTTGCGTCCTGGTGGAACCTTGCGTCCTGGTGGAACCTTGCGTCCTGATGGAACCTCGCGTCTTGGTGGAACCTTGCTTTGCATCCTGGTGGAACCTTGTATCCTGGTGGAACCTTGTATCCTCGTGGAACCTTGTATCCTCGTGGAACCTTGTATCCTGGTGGAACCTTGCGTCCTGATGGAACCTCGCGTCCTGGTGGAACCTTGCATCCTGGTGGAACCTTGATACCCCGGCGATCTTGCTACCTCTGCTGTTCAAGGTCACCTGTCACCTGACCTCCTTTACTTTTCCTGCTTAATTTCTATTGTTTATTAAATGCTAAGTAAGTTACGCGTGTTTCGTTTTGCATCCTGTGACGAGGCCTGCTTGCATTAGTGCGACTGCGGTGGATTCCTTGGCCGAACTAACCCTGGACCGTAACTGGAATTTCCAGCTGCTCTGGACTACGGTTGGAGTAGTGGTCCCGAATTCCTTTACACTGACCTTGCCATCATTACCGGGCATCTGCTACTCAACACTTCTGGACTACTCAGGTCGCACTGAACTCCGACCACTCACCTATCTTGATTCATTTACCTCCCTCCATTGATTCCCTGGTCCGCCCGCTCTTATAACTTCAAGAAAGCGGACCGGCCCGCCTTCACGGCAGCAGTTGAGGCAGCGCTCGAGGCGGTCCCTCCCCCCACCTCGTGCGGAGGCGAGTCGATCCTCAGATGCGTCCTGGCGGCTGCTGCCAAGCAGCACATCCCTGCTGACTTTCGAAATGAAAACCCCCGCAGTCAACCCTGGCACCCAGTGGCTTATAGAGGAAGGGGGTTATTCACCGCCTTCTGTAAACATATCACCTCCATCACTCCGCACTCTCAAAACCCAACCACCCACCACTATATGCATCGAATTTGGACTGAGCATCTCCTCGACTTCTCTCCCTTCACCCCCGACATGGTGAAGCTCGCCATTAGAGCCGCCAACAATTCTTCCGCTCAGGGTCCAGACGGCGTCACGGTCCTTCATCTCAAGCATCTTGACCCACCAGGCCTTCAGTTCCTTACCCACGTCTTTAATATCGTCGTACCCACGGATGTTGTCGTACTATCTGTCGCTATAATCATGAAATTTTCTTTGTTGTTTACAAAATTATTCCGCCACCAGGAATCTTTACATTTAAATACAACATTATTTACAGTTATAATAATGATGCTTTGCTTAAAATTCATTTTCTAACGCTAAATTTAATATGCACATGGCAGTTTGTTCAAATGAAAGGTGTATCGTACGTCTGACAGGCACTAGCACGACCAATGGACAGGAAGCGCGCCTATTGTCCGTTCCTAGCACGGCTGCACGCATGAATTTTCAACGTAATCATAAACACTACGTTATTTTTATTCAAATTTGAACGAATTCTCTCTCTTGACAATAGACGTTTTTTTTGTCAAATATTATCAGATTAACCGTTACCGAACTTTAATTTCTCGCAAAGCATGAACTTGTCAAAATTTTCTAAGTTCAAGCAACAAAAAAAATATACAACGAAAAGGACTACAAGCATTATTCAATGTACGATTCATCAACCAATCATATGATTATTTACTGATTATTACTACAAAGGTTGAATAAAATAACAATGGCGAACGAAAACATTTCTTTAAATATAAGGCGATGTTCGAAACATCAAAACTATGCCATATTTGCCTCCATGTTTCCCAGGCATTAGTGACAACTTATAAGTATATAAGTCTTAATCATTCAATAATAACACCAACTTGACAGTTTCATTCGTTTTCCGTAGATTTATTCAGCATTTTACGATACGATCCGCGTGATGAAGATAGTGATTAGAAGTGATAATGAATGAAGTGCTAATGAATGAAGTGATAATGAATGAAGTGCTAATGAATGAAGTGATAATGAATGAAGTGATAATGAATGAAGTGATAATGAATGAAGTGATAATGACTGAAGTGATAATGGATGAAGCAATAATGAATGAAGCGATAATGATTGAATAAAGCGAGATGTTGTAAAATCAAGAAAGATAATGAACAAGCGAAAAAAAAATAAGAATTGCAATAGGGAAATGGTCAATGGCAAAAAAAGATCACTGTAAATTTATTGTTAATTAACGAAAAGTATCAACGTATCGTTACAGTGGCGGGAAGTGGTCTCAAAGAGGACAGGAAATGTTGTTGAAATGTTGAACAGGTCGCGTATGACTGGATAGCCATCATGTTAACTACATATGACACGTATAAATGAAAATCTTTGTAAGGGTAAAATACGCAAGCGACCATGTCACCCATAGTGAATCATATGATCATGTCAACTACACATGACACAAACAAATATAAATCCTTATCAACTAAAATACGCAAGCGACCATGTCACCCATAGTAAATACATATGATCATGTCAACTACATATGGCACAAACAAATATAAATCCTTATCAACTAAAATATGCAAGCGACCATGTCACCCATAGTAAATACTAGCAACGCAAGCGATCGAGTTTAGACACCATGTGCAACAAGAAGATGGTGAGTTCAAGTTGAGATGAGGTATTCTTCACAGGAATAACTGTTAGTCACAAAATGTATAATTATTTTTTTGCTTGCATCAATAAATTTTACAACATTTTATTTAGTGGATCTGAACTTGGAATTTCGAACAGGAACTCGAAAATTTCGAACATTCGAACAATTAATACAGAGCAAAAAGTTGATACAGACCAAATAATACAGAGCAAAAAGTTGATACAGACCAAATAATACAGACCAAAGAAGTTAATACAGACCAAAAAATTGATACAGATGAAAAAATTAATACAGACCAACATAGTAAATACAGACCAAAAAGTTAATACAGATCAAAAAATTAATACAGACCAACAAAGTAAATACAGACCAAAAAAGTTAATACAGACCAAAAAGTTAATACAGACCAAAAAGTTAAAACAGACCAAAAATTCAATACAGACCACAAAGTTAATACAGACCACAAAGTAAATACAGACCGAAAAAGTTAATAGACCAAAAAGTTAATACAGACCAAAAAAGTTAATACAGACCAAAAAGTTAATACGGACCAAAAAGTTAATAGAGATCAAAAAGTTAAAACAGACCAAAAATTCAATACAGACCACAAAGTTAATACAGACCAAAAAGTTAATACAGACCAAAAAGTTAATACAGATCAAAAAGTTAAAACAGACCAAAAATTCAATACAGACCACAAAGTTAATACAGACCAAAAAGTTAATACAGACCAAAAAGTTAATACAGACCACAAAGTTAATACAGACCACAAAGTTATTACAGACTAAAAAGTCAATACAGACCAAAAAGTTATTACAGACTAAAAAGTTGATATAGACCAAAAAGTTGATACAGAGCATAAAATCAATACCTACAGACAATTCATGCACAACTGATATTTGTGACTAGGTTCATCATATATTTAAATATTTATAAAGATCAAGAAATAATAACGTACTCGTACAACGTCAAGTTCAGTTTCCAACGGAAGACAGACATTGAAAAAAATGAGCGAGACAATAGTCCACATAGCGATGCACATGTTTGCTGCTGAGTGGGTCATCTTAACCCAGTTAGGCTCGCCAATAGGGAGTATCAGTACTACTTGCGGTCACAATTAGATCAATATGACCATTACATTTTTTGACTATACAAGTAAGAGCTTGATGCCAGAGCCACTGGAACAAAAAAAAATATAGTACGCTTCACTAAAAATAAACGCAACTCAAATTTGATGTTATGAATAAAATATTCATGTTGTAATTTGGAAATATTAAGATACAAAAATATTCATAATGTTTCCATTATGGGCTATATTCATATTCATAATAATAATATTCATAATGTTTCCATTAGAAAATAGTCACAATTTTTCCATTAGAAAATATTCATAATGTTTCCATTAGAAAATATTCACAATGTTTATTAGATTGTTGTATTAGAAAATATTCATAATGTTTCCATTAGAAAATATTCATAATGTTTTCACTAGAAAATATTCATAATGTTTTCACTAGAAAATATTTTCAGTGTTTTGTAGTAAGAAAAGGCGAGACAGAGCGATATGGTAACAATTCTAAGTTCTTAGCTGCACCACACTGCAGAATCAAAAATATCACTCTACAACTTAACCTATGGGGTAATAACATACCTAACGTATTCGAGTTAACCAAACTTACGAACTAAATACATAAAAAAATCCTAGGACAACCTGACAGTAGTTCCCGCACATCAAGCCCACATCGCCTGAAATCTCAGTTTATCTAGAACATATAATTGTTTTTTTTTGTATAACAATGACGTTACAATTTCATAACATTAAAGTTTTCTTAGGTGCCGAAACAAAAGCAACGTTTCGTATAAAAAAATCCTGGGTGAAAAATAATGTTTTCCGAGGATTGGAGATTTTTTACACAGGATATTTAGTACATGACGTCAAGAAGAAAAAAAACTGCTCATTCATTTCCCAATATCCTTGACGTGAGGATCAAAAAATAGAGCTTTTCATGAAAAAAACACGGAAAAAATGTTACCTACTTCCTTAATAATGAACTCTTTAACTATTTTCTATTATTGCTAGAGTACACAAAAAAACCCTCATTAATTTCAATAGCCGCTTGAAAAATCTTTATCTTTTAGAATTTAGGGTAGAACATTGAAAAACTCGGCAGGACTTTTCTAATATCGTGAATATTTTTAAAAATTAAGAAAAAATAGTGAGAAAAAAACAAAAGAATTTGAAAGTTAATAACTTCATGGCGCTACCATTGAAATAGCAGTTATGTGCCAGCATGAGTCAAGATTATACACTGTCAAACCACAGAAACTTCGAGAGTAACCAACTAAAAAATGATGGCCGACTTTCAAGTTCTCTTGCAAGCCCAGCTCCAGAATTACTGACACCTGCAAGCCCAGCTCCAGAATTACTGACACCTGCAAGCCCAGCTCCAGAATTACTGACACCTGCAAGCTCAGCTCCATAATTACTGACACCTGCAAGCTCAGCTCCAGAATTACTGACAACTGCAAGCCCAGCTCCATAATTACTGAAAAGTGCAACCCAGCTCCATAATAACTGACCCCTGCAATGCAAACCCAGCTCCAAAATTATTTGCTCTTGCAAGCCCAGCTCCATAATTACTGGCACCTGCAAGCCCAGCTCCATAATTACTGACACCTGCAAGCCCAGCTCCATAATTACTGACACCTGCAAGCCCAGCTCCATAATTACTGACATCTGCAAGCCCAGCTCCAGAATAATTTGCTCTTGCAAGCCCAGCTCCAGAATTACTGGCACCTGCAAGCCCAGCTCCAGAATTACTGACAACTGCAAGCTCAGCTCCAGAATTTCTGACACCTGCAAGCCCAGCTCCATAATTACTGACAACTGCAAGCTCAGCTCCAGAATTACTGACACCTGCAAGCTCAGCTCCAGAATTACTGACACCTGCAAGCCCAGCTCCAGAATTACTGACACCTGCAAGCCCAGCTCCAGAATTACTGACAACTGCAAGCCCAGGTTTCTTGCTGTGAGCCCGTGAAGAAAAAGTTCGTTTCATCTCATCACGTTTATACTCGATCTCGTTCTTGGCTATCTTTTTCTGCGTAGTAGGAGGAACACCAACATCAGGTGTCTCAACTCTGACAGGGTTGACGGTAACTCGATAGCCTTGCTCCCTTCTATTGCTGTTGCTGGTGTCAGGTGCGTCCCTGGAAGATGCGCCAGAAGCAACATTTTTAGTCATGGGTCTAACAGAGCTTTTGATTCTAGACGAGTGATCTTTAGGCTCCCGACGGATGCCAGAAGCAGAATCTTCTGAAGAATCTCTGTCATCTTGTGCAAAAGCAGGCGAGCTTATTTTCTGTTTACCATTACATTTGATTTCGTTAGCGCCAGATTGCTGATCATCATTGCCAATTTCAACTTTCTTTTCAACGTTAGAAATAGAGAAAGTTTTTCGATCAAGTTTGATTGGTATAGATTTCATAGATGAACTTTTCCCAGCCCTGACTGCTGAAATGGAAACAAAAGCTTGTGGCCATGTCCCAGTAACAGGTTTCTCATCTACAATACGACACACCTTGTAATCCTGGTCCCCTTTGATGTCATGGATGATCATTGAGAATGGAATTTGGCACAAAGGACAATCTTGTTTACGTTCAGACCACTCTTTTAGGCAAGGAAAACAGAACCTGTGAAGACAGGATCCGGCAACACAGGCGTCAGTGATGACACACAAGCATATGGAGCAAGTGTCTTCAGAAACTGGAGATACTTGAGAGTAAGAACACGCTAATGCTGACCTAGCATCCCCTTCAGACTCAGGACCAACTGGTACCTCAGAACGGTTACCTGCAGGACGGTGAATGCTCTCTTGATCAGCAGGGTTAGAAGTGGCAGATCCCCGAGTGCTTGGATTCCAGTAAAGAAGCACAGAAGAATTCGATTTAAAGCCTTTATTCCCTGCAATGGAAACCCCAGCATTTGAAGCTGCATCTTCAGTATATGATGTTCCAGATGCAGCATTACTGTTTGTGAGTTTCGATCCCTTTTTATTGGTAGCAGAATTCAAGTTTTTATTTTCAAAAAGTTTAGCACTTTTTTCCTTTGATATCTTCTTACAAGAATCAGAATTTCCAGCTCTAGCAAGCCCAGCTCCAGAATTACTGGCACCTGCAAGCCCAGCTGCAGAATTACTGGCACCTGCAAGCCCAGCTGCAGAATTACTGGCACCTGCAAGCCCAGCTCCAGAATTAATGGCACCTGCAAGCCCAGCTCCAGAATTACTGGCACCTGCAAGCCCAGCTACAGAATTATGGGCTCTTGCCACAGCAGAATCAGGCTTGTTGGATTTGGGTTCTCGAGTTTTGGAGCCATGTTTTAAATTTAATTTTCTCTTAACACCGTTCTTTTTTCTTTTTTTCTTTCTTTCAGAGGATGATGAAGAACTGCTTGAGGATGACGAAGAGCTGCTAGAGGTGATGTATGATGAGTGACTATCTTTCACCCCTCTGGAGGACTGAGTAACCCCAAAAGAATGCCGACTGGTTGAGCGCATCCTAGAATGTTGTCTGCAGGCTTGAGTTCTGAAAATAAAGTCTTAATTAATGATGTATAAATTTTCATACATTGTCATAGATAGTATCTATAGAGTTACTCAAGTTCCAAAAGGTAAACTTCATAGCTAAGAAATATCAATCTTGGTTAAAAATATTCTTTTGGCTAACCACAATCAGGAGCTAGAGAACTAACATGAAGATTTCAACATTAGGAAAAAATTATTTACAAAAAAGTAAGTTATTTGATTGCTATTTGATGATGGACGTATAGAATGCATAGGTATACCTATTTTACATCTATGAAAAAATTATAAACACAGTTCTAAATTTCACACTTTTAATAGAAGTACAATAAGTTGTAGGCTTGCAAAGATAAGGAAACAGTATAAATTATAGCTATGCCTTCCAAGTATTTAAATAAACAATGATTCATAATCAGAAACTGAATTTCAACATTTATTTACCATCAACGCTTAGTAATTCTAAGTATTATGAAATCTACAATGAATGAAATGGATCTGGGCACACTTGTAAGCTCATGAAGCATTCACAGGACTTAGAATTGTATTCATAGGTACGGTATGTGTTAATGCAATCAATTCAAGAAAACATCAATAACAGCATGCTGTGCTGCAAGATATTCATATAATTAGAGATGTGGCTCAACAAAGTGACTTAAAACTAATTTTTTTGTTAAAGATACATGCCCTGATAAAATGAATGACTTTTTATCTGCAATCACCAGTTGCATGAGTATGTTTTGAAATAGAAATAATTTTTCCTCATTATGATGCTACACTTGTGTCCGAAATTGTTCATACCCCTTCAGAAATATAATGAGTTCCAATTTTAAAAAACCAGATCATTTACAACTTATTCTTCTAGGGAAGGTCATCATTATAATGTACAACAAATTTAATGCTAGAAAATGTTTAGAAATTTTCAGAAGGAATTGCTTTGAATTTTGTAGCTAACTCTTCATGATTATTCATACCCTCTTATTCCAGATCATTTATCATAATATTTAAGAACAACCATTAATAAAAATAGTAGTAGATACTCACTAATTGTATTTCAAAATTAGGTGTCATTAAGCATTGTATTATTTTTCTCCGCAAAGTCTGAAAATATACTTTTTTTGCATTTAAAGAAAAAGGTAAAATTTTACTAAAAGTTTGAAGACAACAAAGATGAAAGAGCTTAGTATTGATCTCAAAAACAAATTTGTAAATTCCCACAAAGAAGGGCTGGGATATAAAGCAATATCTAAGAATTTTGATGTTCCTACATCTACAATACAGAGCATTGTAAAAAAATTTCAAATTATTTAACACGGTGGATAACCTGGTTGGTTGAGGAAGAAAGGGAAAAATCTCCCCTAGATGTGCTAGAAACATAATACTCTACATTTTGGACAATCCTAGGATCACTAGCAAGGAAATTCTGTCAAATTTGGATGCTCTTAGCATGAAGGTGCGGTATCAAGACAAACATTGCAAAGAACAACGCATTGTAGCAGACTGAAGGGTTGTCAATCCATTTGCTAACGGGAAAGCAAGAGAAAGCACATCTGAAGTTTGCTAAAACTTGATACACCAACTTCATTTTTCTCCATGATTTTGTGAACAGATGAAACTAAAATAGAATTATTTGGGCACATGGATGCTGCTTCTGTTTGAAGAAAAAAAGGTGAGGCTCATAATCCAAAGAACAATATTCCCACAGTTAAACATGGGGTGGGGATTTTATATCTTGGAGTTCTTTTTCTGCTAGGGGACCTGTATGTCTGATTAAAGTGAACGGGATCATGAAACATAAACAATATCCTGATAATATCAAATACAACAACAAGAAGGAAGCAGAAAAACTTTCTCTTGGTCCTGATTGGATTCTTCAGCAGGATAATGATCCGAAGCACAAAAAAAGTCAAGAAGTGGTTCAAGGAATCTCACATCAATGTCATGGAATAGCCTAGTCACTGTCTTGGATCTTAATCCAATTGAAAATTTGTGGCACATACTGAAAATACAAGAGAAAAAGAGATAACTTCAAAATTTAAAAGAATTTGAGCAGTATGTATGCTAAGGAAGAATGGACAAAACTTAGCATCATTCCATGCAGGAACCTTGTTTACCATTACCCGATGAATTTCTAACAAGTTATCAAGAGTAAAGACCATGCTATTAGCTATTAATTCAGAGAATGAATAATTTAGGTCAAGAGACAGTTTCATGTTTCTTTTATATCTCTTTACAAAACTGAAAAATAATGTTTTTCAGTTTCTAAATACATGTTATATGGTTCATAAATGGTTTACATCTGCTTTAAAGTTTTAGACAATTTTTTTGGTCAATTTGTGATTTCTGGGAATAACGTTGTTACCGGAGGTTTAAACTAGGCTATTGTGTAGCACAACCTACAGGTCTTTTTACCAAAAATCAAATTTTATACGTTGCTCAATTATACTCAATTTCAAATAAATTCCAACATTTTTCTATTTTTTTTTCAGTGTAGATAAGTACAGAGAAATTTACAGATTTAAGTACACTACCTGGGCACTCAGTTGCACTGGTAACAGTGGTGAGTGGGGTTTATGATATACCTATTACAAAGCATAAAAGAGCGTCAGTACTAATTCTTTATTGGCGATTTTGATTTTGATTTATCTTTGTTATTATTTCAATTTCATTGATGTTGATTAGCTAATTGTATGATTTCATTTCCTTCTGTTCCATTGCACCTTATCTAAACCTCATGTAAAGATTCCTCTATGTTAAAAGTCACCTACAGCGTGGACATAAGCTGTTTCCAGTTAAGGCAGTGACTGGTTCGTGGATTTCTAATATTTTGTATCTCATCAGGCTATGTCATTCATGATTTGCATTTTTATTCCATTCTTTCTGTTTGCAGTTTCATCCAATATTCTCCACCTGTCCATGCTGCTTATATACAACTAACTAACACACTTTCACTACACTACCTAACCATTACACTTGCAATTTTGTTAAGATATGTTTATTTACTCTCATATTTTAATTCAATAGTTATTATTTATTAGAACCAGCCTTTCATTTTCCTACATTCAAAGAAGGGTTGTTACCATTTAGTAAAAGAAGCAGATTACAGGTTTATCTCACCTGCAGTACGAGACATTTTAGACCCGGCAACAACGATGGGGTATGAATAATTTCGGGCACAAGCGTAGGTATATCCTCAATTTCAGAATAGTAGGTACAAAAAAATTCATATAGGTATATATTTAATTTGAAACCTAGACAAAATGCATACAGCTATGTATTCAAGATGCATGGTTTAAAGTCCATTTGATAGAACTAATATTTTTCCTAATGTGTGAAGCTCAATTGCTCAAGTTTTATAAAATATAGGTAGATAATGCGCTTATATATAGATAAGATGTAGCTTTATCGAGATTAAATTTCTGACCAATTTTGAAATTACTAACTCAGGTGCATCTTTTGTAAAGTTATTGCCACAGGTACCACAAATATTACTGGAAAATACATGGTTAGCATCATGAGAGAAATTATAGAAAAAGTTTAATTAATGAAAGTCCTCACTGCCTGGAGTGACAATCCCAACACATGAAGAAAGCATGGATATTTAGGATATTTTAATTTAATAACATTTCCTCACAGGCTCTGATCTCTCAACCAAATGAACATTAATCTACAATTACAACTTGTGTCACACTATGAAACCTGGTCAACAGCCATTTTGGAAAAGCAGGTAAAATCCACACATTAATGAGACAAAAATGCCTGTTCTTGCAGGCAATTATACCAGTTTTCTTAGTACTTACCTAATTTAATTCATAGATAATGTGAAAGACGGCACATTGTGATAAAAAAAATTGTGTCATGGGTGATTTCCAAAAATTGCAGGTAAAAGTAGGCTGTTTTCATTTCTTTTGCTGTAGAAATTGGGATAAGGCCATAGGACTGGATGAAATTAGATTCACAGGCGTTTTTGTCCTATTCATGAGTGGCTCTTGCCCAATTTTCAACCTTGGAGGCTGGGAGTTCTTTATCAATTTCCACTAGTCCTACATCTGCCCAAATCCCAGTTTGGAAAATTTTTAGTTTCATCTAAAATATCTCTGTATTGACAAAAATTACAAATGAAATAATTATTTATTCACAATTTTTAACAAAGAAAATATGACTTTGGACAATCTGAGGGGCCAAACTGTAAAATTGGGCAGAAGCCACCATAAGTGGAAATAATGCAACTTCAGACAGATTTGTACATCTGTTAATGAACTCCGCAGATGGCTTAGGATGCAAAAAAGTGCCACTTATTCAATAGGATGCACAAAATAAACAATGATTTAAAATCCAATTCCACAGCACAATAAGAAAGGAAAATCTATGTAAAGTTCATAGCATGAAGCCAGGAAAATCAGTCAAATGAATGCCAGATGTGTCAAAAAACTGTAGCTACCAAACCAGGAGCAATGTCCATGCTCGTCGACTGTCGTATTGCTCAAGAAACAAATATGACGTGTGATATACCTACCACAGAGCCCCTGCTCACCAAATATGGGAGGTTGTGCAACCAACAATCAGACATTCCTTATCAACTAAATAAATTGTTTGTTCAGATGTGTTTTTTTTTTTCGTATTAAATAGGAACATGTTGGGAACTTGGGTTTGGTTCTCAAGACTCAAGCCTGTCATGTTCCATTGCTGCACTGTTACGAGTCAGTGTCATTGAAACTTCATTTCCATTTTCAAATGTTGCTGCCTTGGAACCAAGGATTAATTCATCATCTTAATTATAAATTTATTGGTTTTTCAGTATTGAGCTGTTTAATATTTATCTCACATTTTTTCTTGCATAAACCATGAGAAATGCAAATGATTGGTTGTATCTGAATAACCCCCCAGAAAAATTCCACAAAATAATCAATCTAAATCAGTTAAAATTTTAATATTTTCAATAGTCAAATATACATTCAAACTTTTCAAATAGATACACAAATTTTACTCAAAAATAAGGTGAATAGTTAAAGCATCTATCCCTGGAAAAAGTTATTCTATTTGGAAGTAAAATCAATTTTATATTTACTTTTAGCAAAATTATTGTTAGATACCATACCATCACTTTTTACATTTGATGATAGATTACGGTACTTCATCCATGACGGACCAGAAATAGGTATATACCGTACCTATATTGAATCAAGGTGGTGCAAGACTCAAGTAAGACAATACTGCTTGAAGTTGAATCATCTTGTGCTGCAATGTACAAGCATTGGAGCTGGTATTGAGTCACATATCTTGATGAAAATATAAAGTTATTTCTTGTGCCTTTCTTGTAAGTACAGCGCTGGGCGACATCCAAGACACTCGGCTCTGAACGATGTGATCAGGAGGGCTCTTCAGAGCGCTGGCGTCCCTTCATGCCTTGAACCCGTTGGAGTGGACAGAGGGGATGGTAAGAGACCGGATGGCTTAACGGTTTTCCCGTTTTTTGGGTTTGGCTGTGCAGAGAGGCAATGCAGCTAGCATTCTAACAGCGGTCAGAGAAAAGTTCGACGTGGGCCCGCTCCTCGCTCGCGTCACAGCTCAGTGACCCTCGGAGTCGGTGTAGGCCACCATCAGAGGCGTTAAGGTCGGGGCCCTGATCATTGACATGAAACCATTCCCTGTTTTTAATTAATAAAATCAATTCCATTTTTTTTTTGTTGGAATGGTGAATGTGGGAGAAGTTATTAATATAGTATTATGGCAAGTCAGGGAAGGTAGTTCAAGTGTGGTACAACACAGAGTAGTGACAGGAAGAGATCTGTGCGCAATGTGGCAAACAAACCACTGAGTCAGTGGGCTTCTTGTGAATCAAGTGGATACGAGTATGGGCAACCAGACCATGGGCCAGAAAGGCCACGGGCCACTCTCCATGCCCATTGGTCTCACACATGAGATTTTGTTGGTCTCACATTAGTCTCACGCATGAGATCACCTCGTGCGTGAGATCAACTCACAAGTGAGATTTTTTCATGGTTGTCAACTTGTCATCACCACTCATGAAAAATGTTCTCTTATGCTTGCTATCACCACTCACAAACACGTCACAGTTACGCTTACCATCTCCACTCACACAAGAGGTTCTGTTATGCTTGAACTCCTCCCAAATTTGTATGAAGTGCATATAATCAATCTGTGAGAATAGTGAGTATAGAATTTTGTTTTCAATGCTATCGTTGCGGCCACTCATTACACTGTAGTTAGCTAAGTTACCTGTAGGATCACATGCTGGTGCTTTCCTCTGATGTTTAATCATATAAGTCAAGTCTTTGTGCAACAGAGTAATAATTAAAATTAGCATTAGTTGTCATGCATTAATGTTGTCAACTGTATCGATATAAATAGAAATGTAATATTTTGTATAGGTATTAATTATATAAATACTAATTATGTAAGGAGTACTGTTTGGATATAATAAGAACATGGATTGTCCAAGGTGTTTAATCTAAATTTGTATGATAAGTTGATCAGCAAGATGTAATTTAACTTACTCTATAGAAATTTCTTATCAAATAATTTTGTATATTGCAATTTGGTTACTTAGAAAACTAAAACTGAATATTATTTTCTGTGGTTTTCTGACATGACTACTAGCTGAACACAATGCATGTCCAAACAAATGTGCAAAGACAAAGTTAAAAGTTTGCACATTTGTCAATTTAATTAATTAATTTAGGTTCATTTAGGTTAAAACCTAATTCTTTGCATTAATTTTTGATGTTCTGATATATGTTTTTTTTTTCAAATTTGTAAGCATCATGTATTATTCAAACATAGATCAAGAACTCTTCACTGAAAGGTTTAGTGCAGCTGCGCGCGTGTCTCCACATTATACCTAGGGATGCCAAGGCAGCAACTGCTGCTTGCAGAGTGAAATTGTCTGTGGAAGAAGCAATGACAAATGCAGTACATCAGAAAAAGTAATGTGTTTATTTATGCTTTATGATTAGGGCAAAGAAAAAAGTAATCTTTATTAGACTGAAGAGAGAGGTAGGTAATCCATTCAATTATTGAATCTTGAAAAACATAAAAAATTCTGTGAAAATGTTCAAGATCTCTTATTAAATCCATGCAACTGCTTTCCTGTGTAATTCCATATGAATTGTTACTTATACCCGTACAGCAATCCCTTGATTAGCACGGTTTTGAATACCGCGGTTTTGATTAACATGGAAAAAAAATTTGCGACCTACCCTTAATCTACGCGGTGCCAGTTTTGATTAGCGTGACTTTTTTTCACAATGCATCATTTTCCCGCCTTTAGCCAGAGGTGTTACGTTTGTAACAAAAGTGTTACTTTTTGCTTATTAGATCTTATGTTGTTACTTTTGTTACGACTTTTGGAAAAATTCGCCAAATGTTGTTACTTTATGAATTTCAGCCAATAATTTTTTAAATAAGGCCCCGTTCCGTAGGCACTCGTGCTGACTACAGAGTCGGTTTAACCACGCCTTGTCTCATTCATAACTCGTATGGTCGAGTTCGGCAACGTTCGCCGGTAAGTGCGCCATGCCGGTTCTCTAGTTACTCGTTAGCCTTCAACTGGTCAAGATCGCTGCCATATCTACTGCTCATTTTTATCAAACTACATAATTTTCCTTGATAAATTACCGTCATAATTATGGACAAGAAGGGAACGCTTAAACGTAAAAAAATCACTTTGGAGACCAAGCTTGAAATTTAGAAAAAAATTATTTATTTAGAAAAAAATATGATGAATTTTAGTGGAAAAAAAAATTATTATGTAACTTTGCTATTTTTGAGGATTCATTATAATTATTCCCATATATTCTTAAGTTTGATTAGCGCGGTTTTGCTTAACACGGTAAAACTTGTGGATTTATTAACCACGTTAATCAAGGGATTGCTGTAGTACACCTGTTCTGGCTGTTCATTAGTACCTCAAATTTCCAGTCAGGGTAGCCACCACATGAATCTGACAAAAATGTCACAAATCTAGCAATTTTCATCCGTTTCTACAGCCTTTTCTCTATTTTTTCAAAGAGAAATAAGAAAAGCAGGTCATTTTTAGATGCAATTATTAAAGGTCATCTGTGAAGCAATAATTTATAGCTAACTGCAACTTCTGCAAGTTGGCAACTTTAGGAAACTCCAGGTCTCCAGCCCACTATTCCAAATTGGCTCTAAAAAATTACTGGCTAAACAATCTGAGAAAATCAGGCTGAATTATTCAAAATAGTAAATAAAGGATAATTTTCTACTAATTTTACAAATGGTAAGGAAATGTATAATTTTCTCTATTTATAAATAAGAAATTAGGCAAGGGCATTAGGAATGGACAAAATTAAATGTAAGCTTGGGTATTTTTGTCTCACTGTGACTAAGTCTCAGACTCAGCCTCAGGCTTGAGGCCGCAAGGCGTCTGTTGAATTTTCCAGACCTTCCAGTTTAGAGCGCACTCCAACTAAGAATATTAGGCAGATGTTTCCAAAAATTGGAAGTAAAAATGATTGTTTCACGAGTAATTTTCTTAAATTGCAGATAGGCTATAAATATATATAGCCTATCTGGCATCTGCTATATTATAATCTGTGGAAAATCAGAAAAATAACCTGTTATAGGTTATTTTTCTGATTTTCCACAGATTTTTGCAAAAGGCCAAACAAAATGGTTAAATAAGCCAGATTCACGACCATTTTTGTCTGATTCATTCATTGTTTCTGTCAAAAAAAAGCTACCTAGTTTTCCAGATAGGAGCTCATCTGCAGACTGCAGTCTTGCAAACAACAGTCAGTCAGTCACAGCAAAATCGCATGATCATACTCTTTCATATCGTTACATTTTATTCAACATTGTCGTCCATAATTTCTATAAATATAAATATAATTCAATTATCAATATTCAGCTCAGAGGCCTCAGGCCAGAGACTCAGCCTCCCTCAGCCTCAGGCTTACTTTGAAGTTTTGAACTTTAAGATCCTACCTACCTATCTATGCTTGGAAGTTGGATGTTAGTACGAAAAAAAAATCCATCTCATCACCATGAGTTTTCAGCTTTCTAATCAAGTCTCTAAGTTTCCTTTGTGCAATTCAAATACGAATCTTTCAATATAATTCTCAGTAATAATTTTCACATTACCTATCATGGTCACAGGACAAATTACATTAGAGCATTACATACATTCGGATACTCACGAGTCACGCACAAAAGACACAAGCGATGAACGCAATGAATAGGAATAAAGTGAGTAATGCGCAATGGACTGAATGGAGCTGCCTGTAATACAGAGATGTACGTGTCACACGATGTGATCTAGGTACTCGCACACGGTGAACTGAACCTAATTGAATAGTCTTCAAACTTTGATATACCGTGGGCGTGGCTATAGGGTGTGTTCTAACTTCCATGATATGCCTTTGGAATTCGATTTCATTCGTAATATATTTCAGCTTAATGGTTTTCCATCGTGCCTTGTGTATAGTAAAACCAAACGCTTTTTATCTAAAAAATTTTCTGAAACTGCGACTGAATGTGATAGTAAGAAAATTATTTATTGCACATTGCCCTATTTCGGTAGTGCGTCTGAAACTATGTCCAAATAATTAAAGATGCTGTGTTTGAAATATTTCCCGAATGTACATTTGCATGTTTTACTGGTAAATATTGTACCCTAGGACTAAGTTGTTCCAATCTAGTCCTGTTTATTTCGATATAATGTTAATTAGGTCTTGTTTAGGTTTTATGTCTGTCTTTGAAATTTGACTTATAAAGTGATTTTATTCATTTTTAGTTTAGTCGAACTGATGATGGAGCTGGACTCCAAAACGTTTTCAATATCGATATGGTATATTTTCTTGGCGTTTTCTTTGCTTTTAAATTCCTTCAGAAAATGGATGAGTCACACTGTCCAAAAAGTGACACATTTCATCCTTGTAGCACTGCTGCGCCATTCTTCCGTGCAAAACTGGTCAGGATGACCCAAAATGTGTATCGATGTCTGAACCGCTTCACTTATTTGCCTGCCTGGCAGATAAGTGATGATTGATGATGATTTATATTGAACAATATAAGTGATGATTGATGATGATGATTTATATTGAACAATATAAGTGATGATGATGATGATGATGATTTATATTGAACAATATAAATTGAAGACCAGAGAATTTGGTTTACTGGCAATTTTCTTACTAATTTTTTCAATATATCGAACAATATTTTTCGTTTGAACTGGTAAATCGGAAATCAGAGTACCGATGGACATTTTTATTTCGTTAACAACGTTTAATTCGAATGTATCAATCATTCATTATCAAAGTTAGAAGGCGCATTGAGTGATGAAGTTTGTATCGATATGAGTGCAAAATCATGTAAGTAGGATTCTACTCAAAAAACATAATTGGATAGAAATAATGCCTAGTCACTATAATATTGAGGATGAACAACATCCCCTAACACCTCCCCCTTACAGCAACATCCCCTAACACCTACCCCCCTTACAGCATCATCCCCTAACACCTCCCCCCTTACAACAACATCCCCTAACACCTCCCCCTTACAGCAACGTCTCCTAACACCTCCCCCCTAACAGCAACATCCCGTAACACCTCCCCCCTTACAGCAACATCCCCTAACACCTCCTCCCTTACAGCAACATCCCCTAACACCTCCTCCCTTACAGCAACATCCCCTAACACCTCCCCCCTTACAACAACATCCCCTAACACCTCCCCCCTTACAGCAAAATCCCATAACACCTCCTCCCTTACAGCAACATCCCCTAACAC